AGCCAAAACGGAAGTTGTGTGACGTCATGTGAAAAGGGTCTATTGCAACAATTATTGCCTTGTTCTTTTATTTGTGCAGCACAATCTTGTTTTTAAAGGGTTATGCAAGTAATAATAGTATGATGTTATTACTACTATGTAACAGAAATATAAATAATGTTATCCAAACTATGCATTTATTGTTAGAATCATTTTGGTGATAAACAAAGTTTAACACCACTCTGCTAGCTGCTCATCTGCTGCTCAGGCAGGAGCAGATATTAGCTCGTTTAAATACCAAGATAAAGCTCAGAGGGCTTAGAGAGCAAACAACCTGCTTTTCATTGTGGTGTCAGGAGGAGAGACGAGCGGCAGCACCATGACGATCGTCCACTACTGTCTATTATTGTTGCTTTTTGTGTTCCTGCTGCCAACTTACAGTAAGAACTATTTTACTCTTAATATTCCACCTTTTTTTTTTTTTTTTTTTTTACAAATTGGTTTTAGTATTTGTATAAAAATGGAACTTAAAAACATTTCTCCACCTGTTATTTGACTTGTTCCATTCAGGCACTTCTTTAGCTACCTGTTTCTCTGTACATTAGTCCAGGCACTTCTTTAGCTACCCGTTCCTCTGTACATTAGTCTCTGCCTTTTGGTGGACGACTCCCTTTCCATTCTGACATTTAAAAGGTAAAGGCTGGACAGGACAACGCAAAAGTTTGTTTTATTTTCAAGAAAAAGGCATCTTTTAACTGCTTAAAAAATATATATTCAATATTAAAACATAAAATGGTATTTCCCGTCATGACTGTTGTTGGAGGTTGATTTCTGTTGTTATTCTCATAATTATTTGCTTCGCTGCAGTTCATCCTCCTCTCCTGTAACCAACATGCAGTCAAAAGCAGCTAATCTCTTAACAGGCCTGGAGACTAATACTTTTAGCATGTGTGGAAAGCGGCTGTGCAGTGGGGATAGATTGGGGTCAGCAACACTCAGTGGGGGATATTTAATGCCAAGGCAAAACACAGATGATCACTAATAAGCAGCAAAGAAAACCAGCAACAAGGACCATTTTAATGATGAAATCTTTGTTTCCTGTTAGTGTTTTAGTTATACTTTTCAAGTTGTGATTTTCTTCTTTAACAGAGCCTACCTTTATAGTGACAGAGTCGACCTTCTGGTTTGATTTGTACGTCTACTGTCTCTAAACTATATCTGTACAGGGACAAACCTGCGTCTGTGTCAGAGAGACACATCTGAGGTGAAAGGAAGCAACTTTGATGGCAAAATACAAGAGATGTGCTGCTGTGAAGAATGTTTGAAGCTTTTAGTGCCTTTCGGCTCTGATCCTCTTAGGAAGCAGCGTTTGAGACTGCATGTCTGGAATAAAGGAGACGGGGATGGAGGGTTTTAGAAGGAACCGTTTAAATCTAAAGCATTGCATAGGTCAATTCATTTTCAAATAGCCGCTCCTTTCCTTAGGATAAGAAATCAGGGCACAGAAAGGCATTTAAGTGCTTTATGTGCTGAAACTGGTTCTCGAGGCATTAGAAGTTTAGGAAAAATAAGTATTTTTAAACATGTGGACACAACTGCTGTAATTTTCCGGTAGATTTGGGAAGATTTGTGCGAGGCGAGGGAAGGGATTAATTAACGCTGTCTCCTCGCTTTAGTCTCACTGCATCAGCGGAAGACTGTCACACATTGGAAATTCACACGGCTTGCTCATCAATCACGTCCTGTGTGAACAGAGATATCAAGAGTCGGGGTCTGTCTGGGAACCTGATTTGGACATGCTTTACACCTGCATCACTGGAGCTAACTCTCCTCTTCTGCAGCTTTAAGGTTTCTAGGCCATGCCCTGGATACCGCATTAACTGTTGAAAAAAAGAGCAATGGGTTGGGCACCTGCAAATGTTCTCTTTAAAATCATCAGTTCCAATATCATCTTGGTAGATTGTTGAGGACAGGATGCAGGACAAAAATTAGATCTGCTCAGCAGTTTAATAAAATAGCAACAGTAGTTTAAAAGTGACCTGATATGCTTCCTTGAACAGGTTAGGACAAACATGTTCATTATTTTTTTTTTGCACAAAATCATTCTTAGATAATGAGATTTTAGTCTGCTCAGTTTGGCCTATTTTGAGCTCCTTTTATAATGAGCAACTTGAGGGCCTGTTGTCACTTTAAATCCAAATAAGCTGCTGCTGGCCACACACCCAATTCCACATTTACTGAAACAAACAGATGTGCAATTACATAACCAACCATCTTTGAAAAGCATAAGTAGAGCCTCTGACACAACCAATAAGGATGCTGGAAGCACATACAGCAGTAAAACCAGCTGACCAAACATTCTAGAGCTAAGGTTCAGTTGCTAGGTAACGGGCTGGGCTTCGTTGGGGTTGCTAGGTTTTGAAGTGTGGTTCTGTTTAAAGGTAATTAGCAGTTAGTATTTTACTCACAGTAAATATCTATCTCTCATCTTGAAACAATTCCAGTCTCAAAATTATCACAGCGGTTTTGCCAACAGTTTTATGAACCCCAGAATCATCGTCACATAAGCCCAAATCCACTTTTGCATGGTAAATTAAATAAATGTATCTCAAACATGCAGCACCATCAGAACTGCTTTTGGTCTGAAAGAAATTAAGGCAATATGAAGAAAAAATAACATAAAATCAATAAAATAGTGTTAAAATTTTTCAGCTTTTAAGCTACTTTGCTTTTATACTGTGACACAAAATACTTCACATCTCTCAGTTCTCCTGATGTTTTTTAGACTGGAACATATTACATTCACTCTTACTTCCATTTCTTGTGAAAACAAACATTGGCTTCTGTGTATGAAACCATCTAATGCAAAACCGTCCCAACAAGTAGCCTTCACATAAATGGGTTGACAATATTTTAAAATGATTTGGCTTTGGTTCCATTTTGACTAGATATTAGCTTCAGCCTCTGGGTCCGTCTAGATTTTGCTGACACCACATTTTCTACTTCAGGTGAAATATTAGTAGCCAATAACCTTTTAAGTAGAACCTTACTTCAGACATCCTGAACCCTTTTTTATATGTATACATAAATAAATAAAACATGCATATAGCATCTTGTTTTGACCTTGTCTCTGTCCCATCGAGGCGAGGCTTTGAAGTGCTACACCTGCATGGGCTCTAATAACGATGACTGCAACCGACAAGGCTCCAAGTCCTGTCCCAGCTACTCTGATGCCTGCGCGGTGGTGGTGGGCCATGACAGTAAGTCTGCTGTTCCTCGAAGGTGTCTGGATCTCTTCTTGTTCATTTAGTTTCTACCTTCTGTTATTCAGACAGCATTTACACTACGTTTTTTTGTGTTCGTTCTGCCTGTGTGCACATGACTGTGTGTGACGGTGTTTGCTGAAATCCGACCTGCTGTTGTCTGGAGAAACATCCCAACCTGCATTGCAGAGAATGAAGCTTTTTGCCTCCATTTGACAAATACCCTTAATTAGGACACCATGTGGTGCTTCAGCACAAACATTTTAGTTTATTCATTTTTTTTATTTAGAAAAAAGACATTGAAATAATTGATAAGTTATTGAAGTTTTACAAAACAATAAGAATCACCTATTTAAATCTTAATCTGAAGGAGGAATTGTTTCCATTTTGGGGCGCAAGCTTATCATTTTAAAGAAAGAATGTGGAGATGACAATTTATCACAACTAATGTTTCATTTAATCAGATTATTCACACATGATCAAGGATTATGATGATATTGATATTATATTTACTTTTAGAACTATAAAAATAGTTTTTTTTTATATCCTAAAAAAAAGGAAATGAAAATAAACATGATAAAGAGCTTACTTAAAGGGCAGCTTCTAAGAGATTGAATGTTCTGAATTTTGATAGTTAAACTGGTAAAAGTAAAAATCTGACCCACAGTTGTAACTGGTGAATAAATTTTGAGCTACAATATCCAACGCTAGCTTTGAGAGGGAGGTTGGTAGAGAAAAACAAAGAGGAAAGTGTTCTAACCGCCTGGGGACGTCACTCTGAGCACCAAAAGAAGAACCACTGTAGTGAAGCAGTCTTGGTCTCTTGATCTGTTTTTTTTTTTTTTTTTTTTTTTTCTCCCCCTTGTTTCTCAGGTCAGCTGACAAAGTAATATCACTGCAACAGTTGTCTTTTGAAGTGGTCACATATAACTAATTGCATAGCAAAATCATGCAACTGAAATCTCTCAAGCAGATTAAGCTCGATTTTGACTGCTACTCAATCTGCAGTAAAAAAAACAACAACAAAAAACAATTAGACAAGTAGAATATTATATTTTACTGCCTCATTCTTTACATTCTTTAAAACTAAGGGAGATAGTTAAGAAATATAAGCCAGCAGTGGACAAGGTGGAAGTTATTTTCCCAGGACTGAAAACTGAGTTTAACACATTGCCAACTATTTAAAGTTAGAACTAATCATAAATTAATTGTAAATAGTTTGGGTCAAATACAGGTGTTTTAGTTACCTGTAAGAGTCCAAGCTCAATATGTTTAAGGTGTGTGAAATGTCAAATCCTGTTGCCTGTGGTCACAACAGTTTCTTATCAAACCTGCAGTGATTTTAAAATATCCTTCATCTCAGATGCCTGCAGTAATCTTTTGATTTGGTTGTCAGTAGCAACGCATTACTTTTTTCGCAACAGCTGTTTTCACTTCTGGTGCACTGATTGGCTTCTGTGAGACAGCTGTTAAACGGATGCGTCTCTCACATATATTTCTGTGTGTCTCATAAGGCGGTGTGATGAAGTCGTGTTCCTACAAGTCTTTCTGCAGTCAGGCCAGCAGCCAGGGATACAGAGCGCCAGGGGTCAGAGTTCACTGCTGCTACAGTGATGACTGCAACATTAAAAGCTTCGCCTCTCCGCTGCCAGGATTCAGCTATTGGCTGCTGTCTCTTCTGCTACTTTTGCACTGACTTTTTTTCACAGGACACACAGACAATCTGATCATGCCAACAAGAATCCATTCAGCATTCAAACGCCAACGAAATGCCAAAAAGACTGCCTGTTTTCACTCTTGATGACGTCCTACTGACCACTACTCCACTTAGCTTTGGTTAATGTATTTATTGGAGTGCAAGACATTAAGAAAAAGCTGCATACTGAGCAGTGAATTAATGCTTATGAACCGTATAAATAAATCAGTCAACCAGCTGCATCTTTGATGGCAGATGGGCATGGCCCAGTTTGCTAATCTTGAGTAAAAATACCATGTTGTCATGGCATTTGCACATTTTCTTTCAACATTTGAAAGAAAATGGATCTAATTGCTTTTAGTTATAAAGTGAAAAGCAACAACTATTTGCTGCAGCTTCAAAATACTGATTTTTAGTTATATTAATATTGTACATAAAAAAAAATCTATTTACTATTATGATTTCAAGGCCTTGACTTAACCCTGAACTATACAGCCAGATGTGGGTCTAACTCCCCGACACAAGTTCACAAATTTCGCATGAAAATTACAACAATAGATCAGCTTCAAAGACTTTAGCTCAAATGATGTCAACATCATTTGTTACAAAGCCATATTATAGAAGCTTTCTTTCAGCCAACAGTGCAGCAACAAGTGGAGGAGGGGCAATGCTCTCCGACAGCCAGAAAAAACTTGTCATTTTGCCATTTTCTCTAAACGCACTGTAAGGTATAGAAATACTTTATAATTCAGCTTTTCTGCTTCCTTTTCTGTTTTGTAAAAATGATGAACCCCATATTAGATGCTATACCTCATCTAAACACTCCAGTATTTGAGCACAGTTTGCGCTGAAATAAACAGTCCTGTGTTTAAAAACGCACCAAAGAGTGTACTCAGCTGGCATGTTTTCTGTGCTTTTTTGTTATTAGCCTCCTTCCTGCCAATCATCAACCTGAGTCGTGTTAACGCTCCTGGTAGGAAGTGAGAAGAAGCCTCTCACACACTGTTCACGACTGTGGCCAGATGTGTTACTCTGAGATAAATTTGCTGTATTTTGAAGTTACTTAGGGAGTTTCTGACATTGTGAACAGAATCTGGACACACCTCACAGACAAAGAGGTGGCAGCAATTCGTGTTTTGATGTGCATTACAATAAAGTATGTCACTTTTTGTGTCTTTATGTATATTTAGAGCTGTTAATCTGAAATAATGAAAAGGTGAATGTAATATGAATAGAGTGTTCATTCCTGTCAATATGTGCATTTATTACTGTGGATTATTTAAATACACCAGTGAATTATTGTGTGAAGATACAAAGACCCTCTTGTCCTCTCTGCAGAGTATTAAAGGTTTACTCATCAGATCATTACGTCTATTTAACTTTAGACATTTAATGATTAAGTTCATTCATTTTCATAGTGGACGTAACACAACAATTTCAATAACTTTTTTTTAAAACAGAAATTTAGAATGTGAATTTTAAACCTATTGTGGATTTGTTTTATGCCAGAAACAGGCTTCAATACATAAATACACTTAATGTTTGGTTGAAAGTCCCTGAGAAAATTGGAGAAAAAACACACACACACATATGTAGCCATGACCAATTAAGAAAGATCTAAGACAGGTTTCTTCCAGAATCCTATTGCAAAACCAGCCTAATTCGCCCAAATATCAGTTTGAATTTCAACTGTATAGAACTGAGAGGTAATATGGATTAAAAATAATTTATTACAATGATTTGTGGTATTTTGTGTGATAACAATAAAACTGAAGTGAAATTACTACATATTCTCTAACTTGGAAAGAAATTAGTATCTATGCTGAACATTCTGGAGGTTGGTGGAGGTTTTAATTATCTTTAATTGGAATTTATTATTGTCGCAGTTCATCAACAGTTTTCACAGTAACATTACAACAAATACCCACCCCTACTGTATAACAGTCTGGAAGCAATCTTCCATCTTCATTAATCCAAACATTTTGGGCAATTACACAACTTGCACAACAAATTATGCAACATGAAGTTGCCTTATTATCCTGTAGCCAACAACATACTTGACACAGTTGGTACAGTGTTTTTAGGCTTAAAGGATGGATGGACAGAAGGACGGACAGATGAACAGGTAGATGGACACATCACCTTTATGGAACGGGATAGGTAATTAAGTCTGAAAATAAAACTATTTCCCCATAGAGGAATTACTTGTGCCGTATCTATTAAAATCTGTGAAATACTTGAGTTAAATTTCACACTTTTCCAGACTGTGTAGGAATTCTTTATGCCGTGTCTCTTCCTGCATGTCTGCTTTTGTAATTCTCCCAGCCTCCACTGTGGGGCAGTCTAGTCACACTTGAACATCCATCCGCCACATGCCATCAAATTTACAAAACTCTTGCAATTCATATCGACCGACCACGCCTCGTGGGCTCAGCAGAGATTAGCTTTAGTCAATAGTGATAATCATTGTACAGTTTTTTTTGCTGTCTGCTGGGCTTTGGACGTTATTTAAAAAAGAAAACTGCAACTGCTTTCTCTCTGTTTCTTCTGTATTGCCACAACTCTTTGTTTTCCCTTTTGCTGTGCTTCCTCTCGTGATGTCCTGCTGCTCTCTCCTTTGACAGGCAGGTGTGAGAGTGTGAAGGCATTGCCCTGCAGAGGGATAGACACTGACCTCAAACCGTGAGTTTATGAAGCCCGTTTGGTCCAGGCTCCAGGGTCTTCATGTCCGCAAACAGGCCCCTTGTCAGCCCTCATCAGATTTATTTGGAAAGACTCTTGAAAAGAGATGCAGTTGCTATTACATTTAAGTTCTGACGGCGGGTCAGTGGGTCACAGATTTTGTGCAGGTGTCTTTAAATTTTCCTTAGTTCTTCTCATGATTCACTTTGAAGTGAGACTGCTCTGTTTCTACACTGCATGGCCATTGCAGAAATATCATCTTCTCTCCTCACCAACACACACGCACACACACGCGCGCGCACACACACACACACATTTGTGAGGACAGAGTTTCAGATTCAACACAGGATTTGAAAGCGCAATCATGGCAAAAGCCTCCGCTGGATTGGAGCCGTCTCTGGGCAATATCAAGGCAGTCGCCGGCTCGCCACATGTCCGCCATCTGAGCTAAAAACTGAAGGTCATTGTCATGGCAACTTTGCCGTTTTTAAAATTGAAGTATGTTTAATCCCAATCCTCTGGCACCTGAAGACATTATCGCCGCAAATCCCACTGTCAGTCATCAAAAAAGATGAGCTGGTTGCCCTTTCAGGGAGGCGATGCACAAAGTAGCAAAGCTGTGGAAAAGTCCTGCCTGCAGTACAGTGCTTTCTAAAGTAAACCAAACAGCTTTTCTGCTAGAATGTCACTGAATGTCTCTCACACTGACATATCTGACAGATTGTTGTCTTAGTGTGTGGGTTGGTGTGCATTTTTTTTTTTCCAATAGGAAGGATTTACACTTGTGAAAATGTTCTCATTCGACCTGAAAAGATTGATGTTTCTCTGGAATAGCCATCTTCCATCATATGAAATCCCACTTCCCTGCTTTTGGTTTTAAGAACTTCTTTTATGGTTTTCAACACATTGTTTCTTAAAATCTCATGGTGAACTTGCTGACTTACTGGCACTTGTAATTATAACAAACTCAAGCAGCAGTGGTTAGATTATTTAGGACAAATTAAAATATGTGTGTGGGCATGGAGAAGAAATTACCTACACCTCTTCCAAGGATGTGCCAAAACGTGCCACACAAAAATATGACATTTGTTACTGTATCATACTATCAAATTGAAAAAATACCTTTAGCTTGTATTGATAGACCTAACACATTGTAGATTTCTTTTTTTTCCTACATTCTCCAGAGTCGTGTGTCCAGTTCATTTATCTTTTCTCATTACTCTTCTAATTTTTTCTAGTATATTTAGTTCTGGGTTGACCTTGCCCTATATTGTCATTCTGTTGAAAAACCGAATGATGATTCATGTTTGGCAAAGAAGAAGCAATACAGATTCTGAACCATACTTAACAGTGGACATGAGGCACTTTTCCACATAGATTCATTGTTTTAAACTAAACCTACCTGGAGTGACTGTCGCAGAAAAGGTCAATCTGACTGGCAGCACAATTACTGGCCCTCCTGCTGTAAATGCTTTGTAAGGCACCCATTTGTCAAAAGGACAGCTTTCAAAACATTTCATGAGATTGTAGCACCGTCATCTTACTACAGATGCAAAAATGGCCCTTATTCACTTTACTGACAGAGGCTAAAATAATTTTTTTCCTTTCTAAAAAGCAACAGGGACGGAATATGTTGAGTAGAAGTGGAGGTGTCATTTGAGAAGCGTTTCTTCACAAACTGTTGCATTCAAGTCAAGTCATTCACTGGATAACATGTCAAAGTTACTTATGCACTGATATCTTATCACTGCATAAATGGCACAATTGAATATTTCCAAGTGGTTCACTGTTTTGTCTTGGTATTAACTGATCAAACCTGATCAAACGCCAAGTCTGTTGTACAAATTATTTTAAAATTTGCTACAAAATTCAAAAATTATATTATCAGAAAATTTCAACCATCACTTAATTTACACAGAACCATTACTTCAGAACAGACTATAGTTTAAATACACATCAACAAATCAACTTTTTGCGAAATGTTCAATAAGGTATTGGTTTGCATTTCAAATATTTTAAAATGTATTTCATAAACCTCCTGAGATTCAACAGGATAATGTAGTTTACAAGGTGTGCATGAATACACCATGAGGTCATCGCCCAAGACAATAAAACAGTGTTTAGGAATGACATAACAGGGGCCCTTCTGAACCTAATGATTTAATAAATTAATTAATGATAATAAAAACTGCTGCTATCATCTAAGTGGCTTCATGGGGGTGTAAAATTAAAATGCGAAACAGTCTGAAAAGCTGCCACTGCGAGTGACAAAATCACACCTCAATGACTTAATTTAGGGAGTATTTCTGATGTTACCATCATTCATTATTCATTACTATCATTAATTATTTATGAGCAAAGGCAAAAAAGTTATGCGAAACTCCAAGAAGTAACGATATCATAGGAGTTTATTTTTTGTGAAATTAAGACAAAAGCATATTTTGGGTTGTCTTAAACATATTTTGTCAGCAGCTAGAGAAGTGTTGGGCTCCCTCAGGAAAAACTGAGTGAGTCCGGTTGCCTTTGATTTAAGCCTGTTGTTTTTCTCGATCCTCTTAGAAGTGAGGGACGTTATTGCCTTAATTTGTGAAGGACCAGAGACAGTTTAGCTGGGCCATTGCCTTCCTACGCAATTCTGCTTGATTCTCATCTCCCTACCATGCTCCATCTGGGATTTTTCCCATTGAGCTGGATTTCTCTGGTAGAATTTCAACCGAGTCAATCAGCAAACAGAAAGAGAAGTTAACGATGACGTCGATTTTCTCCACTGTACTGGGATTGTAGCAGTCTTACAATTGTAAAATTGTCATTTTAGTTGCCTGTAGGGAGTGAATGAAGCCGTCCAGTCTGTGTTGTCCATGCTTCCAAATATCAAATTAACATTAACAGCTGACATTCGGGCTGACACTTCTCTCTTCGTAATGGAGGATGGGCAGGCAATTTCCGGTAAGCTTCATAGCGTCAAACCGGTGCATCACATACGCCACGGGCGAATTTTAGTGACTGGGTAAAATTTAAAGGTTCAACAGAGTCCTTGTCTCCAGCAAGCAATCATTTCTCAACCTTCTATATACGAAGTGGAGGGTAAGAGGCTGGTATTTACAAGGCTAGAGGCAGTTTGAAGAAATCTGTATTGGAACTGCACTTTGTGAAAAAAGCTTTGAAGATGGCCAGATGCTACTTTTTTCCTGTGAACACTGAATTTATTTTCAGTTGCTATCCAATAAAATAGGACTGGGTGGCCAAAAGATATGGGCCTCAGTGTCTCTTCATATTTATGCCTAAAAAAACAAAACAAAAATCATGGATTGCAAAGGCCTACAGCCTCTGATCCACTTACTAAAGAAAAAGATAAAAATCCAAACATTTATTTTGTTAAATTTACTTTAAAGGAATCATTTGGAGTATAAATAATTTTCCCGAAGGTGATTTTGTCACAAATAATAAATTGTTTACGTTAAACTTTTTCTGCACTAAATTACAGACTGGATTTTTTTTTTCAAAATTTTTGAGAGTGTCTTTCCAAACAATGAAATGAACTTATGAACCACCAGTGGAATCCAGGTCCTACCCACAAGAGCCGACCTGTTAATCTAGGACAGTCCTGTCTCTGAAGAAAGAGTGGTTTTCAGTCAGGCCTTTATGGGAGCGCTGAATTTTGGATGCAATCCGCCACAGAAATG